ATATATATACAGTTTCAAAAGAGAGAAAGAGAGAGAGAGAGAGAGAGAGAGATAATCAAAAGAATAAATAAATGTAAGCGTTCTACATTACAATACTTTAAAACAAAGCTTTACCATGATAAATCTCAACATGAACAATATTTATGCAACATTGCATAATGGTACATATATCATACACACTTTATTTAAGATTTTATAACACATACATTTTCGTTATTGCAATTACAATTGTATTAAAATGCTGCACGTTACCTTATAAGCACATACAGTTACTTCTATATGGATTCACGGCAGCTTTTTCCGAAAATAAAATAAACAAAAAACCAAATATGCAAAAGTAGTATAATGCTTTTGTTCATTCAAATGCTAAGCAGGTAGATATACATATAAATGATAAATGCTCCTAAACGCTTCCTTAATACAATTCTCTCTTTGCGTCATGCAATTTCAAAGCGAGAGAGAGTGAATTTTAATTGTACGGAGGCTGCTGTAATTAGTACGTGCTAAAAAATTTAATTATATAGATATAATATATAAATTTTTATTCAATGCATATTCCACAAGATAGTACAGTTTAATTTGATTATTGAGAAATTTATATCGTACAATAAATAACAAAACTAAAGAAAGAACATATTATTAAAAACCGATTTTATTTATAGCCCACTTTATATAGGATTTTACAGCCATTTCCACTGTTTCACGAAGGGTAAAAATAAACTGAATAAATTACGTATCATTTTATTATAAAGAAGGTATAAATACAATTTTCATATAAATAATCTATTTAAAAATTTATATATACGATATATGTATATGTAGTAAATAGGGCGTGGTAATATGTTAATGATCATCAAAGTTAAATTTCATACATATTTAGACACTTAATAAATATAAATTTGCATATAAAATATTAGTTATTCCTATTAATTACCATCGTTAAATATTTGTCTTTAATTATTTTATTTCCATTATAAAATTTAATATTTTATTAGTTAATGTATTAATTTATTGAATATTTCTAGAAATATGTGATTGCCATTATGTGAAATATGTGAAATTACGACTGAAATCAGTGAATAAGTCCAGATTAGATTAGCTGACAGATTTCAAAATGAGTATTCATTAAAATATTTATTCATATGATCAGTTCCTACTAAAAAAAAAAGTTCAATTCAGAACGTGGATTGCATAAGAAGATATTCTCTTATCGATTCGCTACAATTGAAACGAATTACTTCTGATTAAGAACGCTTGTCATGGCGGGTCGTATCAAAGCAATCGTATTTACATATAAAAAATCAAAAAAATAATAAATAATCAGCATAATAATTAATAATAAGTATACAGAATATTCAAAAAGATGGTACCAAATTTATATAATAGAAGTATATAGTACTCGTAAAAACGAACCAAAAAGTCTTAATAAGTAGTATTCCAAAAATCATTTATTTCTAAGTTATAAAGTATTTTTTGTTATTATAGATAGAACTTATTTCGAGTATGCATTGTATGATATATTTACACGCGGTCCAGTTGCATGACCACTTCGCTAACCGGATTTAAATACGTTAGATTTTTATTTATGGAGACACTTAAAGAGCATGGTGTACGTCACATCAGTTGATATATTAGATGAACCAATACAGAAAATTTAAAACTATTGTCAATAAATACAAAATAAACCTGGAATCTTTAAACATGTTCGATCTTCAATGAGAAGGCGTGCCGAATGATGTATTGAAATAAACGTAGGACACATCGCTGCTGTAGATTGAATTTCTTTAATAACAGAAAATGCTTTATAACTCGGCAATAAATGGTTTCTGGAGTACTACTTGTTAAGACTTTTTGGTTCGTTTTTACGAGTATTACATACTTCTAAAATTTAATCATCTTTTTTAATATTCTGTATATAATTTTGTTTATTTATAATTTTCTTCAATTTATTATAAAGTTGTTAAGTGCGGAAAAAAACAAACAGCTGCTATATATGTGTACTATATATATCTTTGAACAGAAACCAATAATTCAATGCTATCATAAAATGTGCTATAGTATAACATTGAAATTAATGCACATATATTGAATGATTTACAACAATTTGGCATCCTGCACTATCTGCTTAAAACTTTATGTGTGTGTGTGTGTGTGTGTGTGTGTGTCTGTGTGCGCACAATCTTATATAAAATTTATATATAGCCATCAAAGTGCTTTCTTTATGTGAATAGGGTGATGTGTTTTATCCTACGTAAAAATTTATTCCGTTTTTCGCTCTATTTATTTTTATCGAATGTCTATTTCATATATCGAGAAAAAACAGTTTTCAACATAGAATAAATAAAAAATAAAATATTTAGTTTGACTATATTGAATATTTCACGACATTCTCTATATGTATGATAATACAAAATGTTATGAGAAAGAGAAAAAAAATTTAATCAACTCCACCCTGATACATACTTAAGCTACGAACACATGTGCCTAACTTAAGAAATCAACTCAATTATTTTTTGATTAATCATTTTTGGATTACGACAAAGATGAGTAATATCATTAAAAATGTATATATATGGCCACTCTGAGAATTGGTGTTAATGTAGATCTATTTTTAATTTCTCAATGTGGAAAAAATAGGATGCCAATATACTTTGTAAAATGCATATATCATATCCCAAAATATCGTATTATAATATAAATCAAGAATAATGATCTCTTTTAATGCGAGTTATGTGGATTATATGAATTCTATGTTCATTTAATAAATAATAAACATTCGCTAAACTTTATGTGTATTGCATATATAAAAAATTTACTCCTCTTTATATAATATACCATGATATACATATTGTATATAATAATATCGTATATAGTATATAGTGTATAGTAATATATCGTATATAATATATAGAAATATTCTTAGAATATATATAGCTTAATTTCTATTAAAATCCATATCAATATCTAACATTTAAACAAGTCAAACGAGAACTTTTCGATCGTGCATCCATCATTTAGAAAATTTAAATTATCAGATTAGGATTATGGGCATAGTAAGTATATCTATTAAGGATTTGTAACAAGATCGAAACCGCCAACTCTCAGATATAATCAATTTGCATTTAGAGATTTTTTGAAAGAAGAAAGAGAATAATATAAGAAAAAGAAAAAAATAAACAAAATAAAAAAAGATATATTCACACAAAAAAAAAACACTTTTGTAACTAAAATTAATAGTACTTAATTAATAAATATTTTTAATACACCGATCTAACTTGCATCAGCACTTTTTAAAACTAAATTATTCAAATAATAAAAATAACACAATCATACTTTTCTTATTTGAATTAAATCATCATTTATTAATATTTTTAGTTTAATCAGCTTTTCAATATATCCAACGTTTCTCGTCTGACGATAGCATGTAAATTATTTACATTCTTATCATTATTAATCGATATTGCAATTTCCTTGAAATTACCGATAAGTTATTAATTTTATCGTCATTATTGTAATATTGTAATATTTTTAGAATATATGTAGCTTTTTTTATTAGATTTATTAATGTCTAACATATGTAGCTTTTTTTATTAGTTTTATTAATGTCTAACATTTATCAATATCTAATATTTAAGCAAAATAAAGCGAGAACTTTTCTATCATGCATCCATCATATAGAAAATATAAGTTACCAATTAGGGTCATGGCGTAGTATATCTATTAAGAATTTGTAACAAGATCAGAACTGTTCTCAGATATAATCAATCTTAAATAAAAATCTTATGTGTTTAATTGTATCTAATTTGTTTTATTTAATTTACTTTTTGTCTTAAAACTGATTTATTACGAAAGTGAATTAAATTATTAATTACGAGAAATATATATATAAAATATACGATTCCTATTTGTGATAATAACTTGAGTTTTATTTTTAAATAAGTTATATTTATAGGAACGGAAAACTTACTAACGGGATGGAAATTTTTCATATATGCCGCATCACGTTCGCGCAATTTATTTTCTTACCAAGTACGATCCACATTACGATGATATTGCCACTAGTTGCAACCAATAGTATCACTGCGAATATCAGCGACCAGAAGAGCTTCTGCCACCATGGTAGATCAAATGGCCGTTCCCGATTGATGAAAATACAATCCAAAAGCGCCTCTCGAAGAATGTTAGGTCGAGTTGATCTGTACAATGCCTCCTCGAAAAAATGACGGAACTCGCTACGATTAACTTTTAAAAGCAAAGTAATATTAAGTTCCAGGAGCCATTCACTGCAATTGAATACACGTTCCAGAGTCATGTTATTCATATTTGTAAGGGTCGTCATTGATGATTATTATGTGAATAGTGTGTCTTGGAGAACTTTATTATATCACTCTGTTGGAGCTTCTTTCGAATAGCATCGAATTGATTTTATCAGTTGTTACCGACGTTACGTGCAATGAACTGATATGTATTTGACCTTTGACCATCATTATAGTGGTTTAACGTCATTTGTTATCAGGGAAACATGCACGGCTTTATACGACTAAATATCTACGACACTTAATCGAAAGTCTTATATAATTCTTTGTTTAGTCAATGCGATTGACATTAATAGTTTTCCAATATATGAAGTTTGTTAAGATTGCCAAGCATATATTTTACTCACGTTATTTCTCGATTTATCTTTTACTATCAAATATTCTTTTAAGCTTATTGTCCCCGCCTAGGAATATAGTAATGAGACTGTCTTCAAAGTCGGAGTAAACGCTGTGCGTAATAATCGTATTTTATATCGCTTTATTTCAGAGAAATTTCGGATAACTAGCTTATGAAGCCAACTGTTGAAAATATGAAAATCTATTTCATATAAATCGAAGCTAAAGATTTATTTTAGCTTTGCATAAATGTTACAATTGTGTAAATAAACGTGTAAAATCTTTTAAGAATTTTTTTATCCAGATAAAAATTTCACACTTTTTTCACTCTTCTTTAATTTCACCGATTTAATTATACCGGATCAATTATTATATTATTTATATAATGTAGTGTTTTATTCCATATTTTATAAATATTTGACATTTATTGTTAAGTTTTTAGATAAATACAACAACAGTGTTAAACTTTGAAACACTCTTCACAAAACATGTATTATATGGTTACAAACTCTAGAACTTCTCCGTAAGATTTTTTAATTAAACTGTTCACATTTATTGTACATTTTAGCGCAGTATTATTAACCGGTGCACATTTCTCTCTCGTTGTAATCTATCGATAGAATCCGTAAGTTATGGACGACATAATCGTTTCAAAGCTATTGTCACTGATGATAATAAACAACGAAATTCGTCATGTTGCATCCGAGTTTTTGATGATACATATCCGCATGTTTGTCGAATATTAATCGTTTTTTGTTGATCAATCCCCGTCATTTGTTGGCTCGCGATTTATTAGTCAAGCTGTCAACTATCATAATACCACCGACATTATTGTTAGAGGATCGTCGAAAATATTTACGTGCGTGTGTGTGAGTGTCACGATCTACATCGCTCCTCAAATAAATCAAATTAAAAAGAATGAGAAAGACACAGCCGGTGAGGGTACCGTACCGAAGAACCCCATCGGCGAGACTGAATGCTTTAAAAGCGTGTTCATTCAGAGATGCGTGCGCACCTTGCGCACCCTCGCACCCCTTTCCTTCGTCACCTACCCGGTCGAGACTTTCCACTTAGACACAAGTGTCAACTGATGGGAAGATTCGCGAGTATCTGTGTCGATTCGAGTCAGATATCAGCACGTTTGTCGATTTATGATAGCTGTTTTTCAGGATAAAAGCTGAGAGATTTACGCCACATGCAGTGAGATATTTTTCAGACTCAACAAATGTTTTGCATGCAGAAATGCATCAGAAGAAATCTAAGATCTTCTATAAGATTTAATGTAAATTCTAATCTCGAATTGTTAAAAGCTACTACGTTTTACTGTTATTCAAATTATTTTTTAATTTGTTTTATATTACTTTTTTCATAAAAAAGCTACATTCTAAATTTTTTATTTTAAAAAATTACTCACAGTTTAAGCGCGCGCGCGCTATGAAAATGTTTTATAATATATATATATATATCCAATAATATTTTATGTTTTATAAAGAGAATTATATATTTATAAATATGCATATTATTGTGTTATTTTACATTCACATATACACGCGTGCGTGCATGCGAGCGTACGTGCGTGTGTGTGTAAATATACATACATACATACATACATATATAAACATACATACATACGCACTAATTTCCTTTTTGGTTTTAAAAAATTATATGTAAATCTATCACACACATGTAAAGTATACATCAATTTATATATTACAATATTACATTGAGAGAGAAAGAGTTTTTCTTAATATAAAATCTTTTTAATACGCAAAAATTGATAAACTTAAACATGTGATCACATCCAAAAATGAAATAATGTTACGCGTACTATTTTTCCGCCACTATTCCGCCCGAAATGAATTCGCGTCAAACATCTGTGCGTGTTAAACATTGTCATTCAAGAAGCCATTTCTAGAAAGTACACGAACATTTGCCTTGCCAACAGAGCTTCTTGTTGGCGGGGTCGTGAAGCATAAATAGGGGTAGTAAAGAATATATTTTCTCGCTTGAACAAAGATAACGACTGTTAATACGTAAGCTACCGTGCAAAAATGCTTGGTGCGTGAAAAAAAAAATTGTTGCGCAGTAAGTTATATCATTTTGCCAAAAAACTTGGCCTTTGCTATTTTATACAGTTCATAACACAGGACTTTTCATGATCTTTTTATAAAACTGTATTTCGTGACGTTAATAGAACTTTATCTCCCGCATCTGTTTCATACAGGAACGATCTCCGCGCTGACAATTTATTGTGGAAAATGTCACTTTACTTATCTGGGTGAATAAAGATGATAGTAATCGCAATCATATTTCTTCGAAAACGATCGAATTATAGAATTATACCCACGCTTGTTATAGCGTATAATAGCAGAACCCGCATCTAACTGCGTCATACAAGTTTGCAACGTCAGCTCTACAATTATATTCAAATTTAACTTATCTCTTAAAGCATAAAGTAATAAAAACCGTTACTGTGAAGTAATAAAAACTTATCGCATACTGGTTGCAACTAACTATAACAACACACTATTACATACTATCTATATTATTATAGTAAATGTTTTTTAATACATCTAAAAATTATCAGAAATGCTTTGCAAATAAGATAATATACTTTTAATTTTTTTAAATTTATGAACATATAACATTGTATATATTTAATGATATATTTTTTAATTAATCCAATTATATTTTTAAATATTTTACTATATAGTATTTTTATAGCTTATTTAAGATAAGCTATTGTGATAAACCTATTATGTAAGAAAAATGCATTTGTATGATAATTCGTAATTAAATGTCGTTTTTAATTAAAATTCTTGAAAAAAATGGAAATAATATTCTTTAAAACGCATTCCAATTAACCATAATTGTAGATATTAAAGGCAGTATTGTGTTGAACTCATTGCATCTATATAAAGCTGAAAGTTTGCAGTTTTAGATGAGTAAAGAAAAAAGATACCCTTCTTGTCGTTTCACAATGTTCATATCCAGACGTTCCAAGTCAAATGAAAGTATGAAAACGTATTCTCCTCACGTACGACTAACTTAAAGTATCTTATCACTGAAGATACAAAGATTTTCGACAAACTTTTCTAGATATCTTGAGAAAACAGACTCGCTCGAATAATATTGACTATTTATTCAAATCTGAAAAAATAATCAATACTTCTAACAATAAAAGTATTGACGATGAATGGAAATACGCTATCAATCTTTCAAATTAAACGGAAAGATAAATAAATTCGATCGTTTGCTTTCACAGCTTGGGAGACACCATTAAAGTTTTAATCATTAATCTGGTTACTCTTTTCTTTTCTTTTCTTCTATCCTTTTAAAAAGAATTATTACTTAGATGTCGTGCGTTAGAGATTGATGTATATCATGTTGTCATTTGATCATAATACTCGAGTCAGAGGTTGGCCATATCCCAGGGCCGAAAATGAAAAGGTAAACATCGTCCGTGATATTTTAAGCCGATAAAACCCGTATAATATACGAAATATTTTCATTAAATCATATATCGTTGTATTTGTTTCAAACAGTTCTACAATTTTTATCGTGTCGAAACATCCACATTGTTAAAAAAAAATTATGCATACCTCTCCGTTTGTTAACACAGATAGCTTTTATAAGCAACTATTATGCTCACAATAGAGTTCAGTTTGAACCATTTAAATGGATATATATTTATTATAATTTATCTCTTTTAGTTTAAAAGATAAAAGGTGGTGGTCGCATTTGGTGGAACACCCTGTATATATACAGGATGTTCCACCAAATATACATATGTATATTATATGATTTATGTAGAGCACTGAAAGAGAACGCACAGAGCGCAAAGATTGATTATAAAATTCTGTGATTCTTTTTCTCCATTGTTAAAATCCTCTTTTACGTGAACACGGTCTCTTGAGAATTTAAAATTAAAGTAAAAAAAAATCGGGTTAGTTGTCTTGGCCTTTTTATACTGGAAAATTATTTATTAATAAACATATAATAAATTTCAATATAAAATAAATATTAAAATTTTATTTTAATTGTTTATATACTGTTAATTAAAAGCAGAATTTTAATTTCAGGAATACTTTATTACGCTAAAATTTTAATTTTAATTTTTGACATTAATTTTTACAAAATCATATAACTGATTCTTAACTAAAAGAATATAAATTTCATATAGGTTTTATTTTTTTTTTTTTTAAGTAAAAAACGTTACCAGTCTAAATTGGTAAAATAAATAATTGTGAATATGTGAGTGAAATTGTGGAAAACTTACATTGATACGATTAATTGTCAATAAAATCAAAATTTAATTATCTTTAAATCTGTTTTTATTATAAGTTTTAGAATGTAAAAACGAACTTCTTCACAATACATACGCAATATTCTAAAATTACTATAAGATCTTGTAATTTTTAATAATTTAAAATTACACATGTTATTTTGCAATTATTGTTGTTATGTTTATTATTGCTATATATTTATTATAGAGGGAGAAGTCCGGAAATGCCAACTGGCGCAATAGGATATCGTATGGTAGATTATTAAGGATTAATGGCAAGTTTCCAAGGACATTTAAAGAAAAAACTTTTAATTCCAAAATGTTGATGCTTTGATAACTTTTAAATGATAAGCTGTTAAAGTTGGAGAATTGGGATGTTGAAAGTTTGCTTAGGTATATAATATACTTTAGCTTTTACCATATTTTTATACTCATAAACTTTTAACATGACAATTTTCCTAGTTTAAAAGTTATTTCAATTTAAAAGTCATATTAACATTTTAAATATAAATATATCTAAAAATCAATAAAAAATGAATATAAAATGCTTTAAATAAATTATCTCAAACAAATATTTTTTTATGATCACCTTTTAAAGATATATGCATTAGTTCTAAATATAATAATATTTGTGATTTTTAGTAACTTTTTAAAAAATTAATAACTAATATATTTAATACAATATCTCAAATTTTCTGAAAGTTACAGCGTGTAAAGGCATTTTTCAAAAAATTCAAAATCTTATAAAAAATGAACCCTTTCACCGGTGAAAATTTTGTCACGAAAACAAAGCTTTCTCTATGAGGAAGCAAAAAGGGGAAAATCAAGAGAAGAGTCACAGATGATATAGCCGTTTAATTATGATTTTAATAATATCTTGAATTTAACCTATATATTTCTTCTAATATGTTTTTAGAATTTCAACGAAACGTGTTTTTGATGGTACTGCAAGAGATCACAATTTCTTCGGTATTTCTTGGCCCTTCTGTTCTGATTTTATTGTTCTCTTAATTAAAATAAAAGTGCAAACAAAAAATAATTACACGTGAACAAAAAATCTAGGTCACGTTATATTTTACAAATATTTTTGCTATTTATTACTATATGTATGTGAGAAATTTTGATCTGTCTAGTAAGACAGAAATATATTTAAAATAATGTCTGGGAAAAGATCACAAGAGAGAGTAGACTCATACTAAAATATATAAGATAGAATACTAATTTAATACTTTAAAAAACACAATCTATTATATACGATATCTAAAAAAGTTGTAAAGAAAACTATAAAAGCTTTTAATCTATATATAAATAGGTATGACTAATAGATATGATGTATTATGTATTAAATATTACAATAGATGCAAAGTGTAATAAAAAAATGTGACTTTCGAAGCAACTTCATGTTTCATGCGAAGGTTTGAACGCATAATGTGTACGTGTAGATATTTTTTAATAGCCAAACAATTGAACCGATAATTGTAACTTAATGCCTATGCCAAAATAGACAAAAAAGAGAAAGATAAGAAGAACTTCTGGAAAGCTGCCAATATAATTTTAGATTGCTTTCAGTTTCAAAGTTACAATTGTTTTATTTTTTTCTAAAATCAATCAGTAAAATCATTTCTAGTATCAATTTCACCGTCGTTTAAAGGATTGAACAAGAACTTCAAAAGATTACATCGTTTGTGCATTAACGCTTTCAAAACGTTGGAGTTCATTATATAAATCTATCGAAACGTGATATACATATATCTATGTTAAATCTATTCATTGGACTTTGCTCGCTTGTCTGAGCTATTAATTAGCCTGCCTAAATACGCATAAATTCCGTTCAATGTTGTAATAATTCTCTCGATATCCTAACTACATTCTATTCAACAAAAACAATACTTTAAGTAAATGTAAATTTTTAAAATAATAAAAGAATATATATATATATATATTAATAAATACATATCCGTATATTATGTTTACAGGGACAGGGATGCCTTTATTATAATCTTGACAAAGTAACTCAATAGGTAAAAAAAGGGAGAAAAAATTCGACAGTTTTGAAAATTAAAACTAATTAATATCATATGAAATTAAAATTGCTCATATCAAATTTGTGATTGTATAAAAATATTTGATATTATTTTATTTTTAAACTAAATAGAGAAAAAATTTTGAAATAATAAAATTAATTGCTTCGTTCTATAAATTCGTACGGAGTCAGTGAAGTGATATTGTTTCTATGAAAACAGGAAAAATACTTTACGAGAGAAGCACTTTACAAACACTATGAGATTTAAATAAGAAACACATTGAATAATTTCAACATAATTTTTTCAAGTTCAAGTTTGTGCATAAATTTAAATAGCAAAGTATGTATAACTAATTTTCTAATTGATATCATGATCATTGATATTTCTTAGAAATATATTTAGACATTAAGAATTCGCGTATATATTAAGAAAACTCTCGCCTCTAAAAATCAATATTCGATAAATTCAAGTTGTGATTTCTTTATTAAGCACAGATTAAGTAATTTAAAAAAATATAAAATTTACTATTATATATTCTTAATAAAATACTTTTGTACAGCATAAAAAAAATATATTAAAAAATTCAAATAGTTAAAAAAAATTTTTTAAACCAATTTGATAAAAAATTTAATATAACGATTAATATATAATATATAAACGAGATTAATATTATACGCTTATATTCCATGTTTCTTTCTCTCTGCTCCACCAACGAATATTAATTAAAAATAAATTTTTATTAATATCGGAAAAAATTTAATAAAGCAATCTTGTTATGATTATATTTTAGTAACAGAAATTTTCAAAAAGAAGGAATACACAATACGCAGAATAAAATATTTAATAATGTGTTTTTAATGATATTTAACAGCTTATTAAATACACACTTCACTTTTGAAACAATTGTTTTCTTTTAATTCGGATTTTAGTATATGTGGATAAAACAAAAATGTGATATATTTATGACATAATTTAAAACTTTTTTAAAGACTTGAATAACTTACACGCGTAAAATACATATAAATATCAAAATAAATTAATAAAAGCTTATGAATATATCATACGAAAGAGACAAAAGGCAATCAAGAGCCAGCGCGATAATTTGTGCGTATATGTTTTATTACAATCAAATTACATTGATATTTTAACTAAGTGATAGATACAATCATAAAAAGCGTACGTTTCGGTCCTTTTTTTGGACCATCAAACATATGCGCACAAATTACCGCGCTGGCTCTTGATTGCCTTTTGTCTCCTTCATATGATATATATATACATGTATATATAAATATATAAATATGTTTTTTATCACTGTTCATTTGCAAGCTACGATATTTTAATTGCGCGTTTTAATTACACTGATATGGAAAAAATTATTGTCGTTATAAATTAAATTCTGCTGCAAACGTCGTAACACTTTTCACATTTTTTCTTTTTTAATTGCATAAGTAATAATTCATAGTAATATTATAAACACTGTTATGCAAGACACTTTCTACAATTCTATCTCATTTACTTCTAATTTCAGTCTGAATACATGAGAGTTATATATAGATTTCTCCATTATCAGTCAAACAACACCCTTATTTTTAATTAATAAATATGCATGATTAAAAAGATAAAAGAATTTAATGTATTTTTTTGTAATATTTGTATTTCGTCTGTAATATTGACTTTGACTAAGTTCTAGAACTTCATTTGCAGGCATATTTAATTATGACATCTCTCCAAAGAAATTTATAGTTATTCATTACATAACTTTCTGTGCCAAAAAAAAATATCTATCAGATAAAAAAACGGAATATCGATATTATAAAACTATAAGACCCGTATACATAGTTCAATCTTATATATATATATATATATATATTAGAAATCAGTTCAAATATATACGTTGGTTTTCATAAAATTAGAAATATTTGTTAAAACAAAAACAAAAAACGATTCCACTTTGCAAATTTCAGTTTAAAATTTTTTTAAATTTAGAATTAGAGATATGATAATATCGCAAAATATATATAAAGCGTACTCAATATTTTTATTTAAATTGAAAACTATAATATCTGTCAATGATTCACGTTAATACATATTTGCTGGTTTAGAATATATAATAGTGATCTCATCCTGATCTCCTATCTTATCCAACTGTGAATAAAATAGTTTTCAAACATTTTCACGAAAGGTAAAGTTATTATCGACATATTAATATTAAAATTATATAAATACCAATGCTTTTGCATAACTCTTCTGTGAATAATTACATCATTTTCTATTTATTTACTTTATAATGTAATAAAAATTTATTATGGTGGAAACATTGATTAGATATTATTAGAAATTTCTGGTTTTATGATTCCCAGACAACACAAAAATGCTAAAAGACATTTTAAGGGTGTTTAAAGTTCGATAAGGTGTCTTTAGTCATTTTTAAACTTCTTTTAAGGATATGTGCTGTTTGGGTAGTATTTTTACTTTAGTTTAATATGAACGACTTACAGTAGTATTATATCTGCACATTCAGTCTTGCTGTTAAAAGATTAATGATGTTATGCTCTTTCTAGATCGGAGGATGATCCTATTTGTGGCTCATACCCGAGCGTAGGCGGGTGTCAAAAATCATATTGAAGTCAGTCGGATGAGTCACAAATAGGATCATCTTTCGGTCTAGAAAGAGCGTTAGATGATTATCTCTTCTCTCGCGAGATGACACGCGTGTTGCGTGTGTATCGTGACGCCACCCGGTGGTATTTTAACAAGCTAAGTGACAAGCATGTTGAGTGGATGTGCTGTTGCCCGTGTTTGGTGATATCGACGAGCTTTGGGATCAATTAAGAATCATCAGAACATATATCTCCAGAATAATAATCTTTGATAATAATTACATCAAGATGTCAGAAGAGGTTTCCGTGAAGCCTCCCTATGAGGTGATCAATTTAGCGACTCTGCCGAATTTAAATATCCAACAACTGACAATGTTTAAACAACAATTGGACAAGGAGCTCGAAGTGTTTCAGGATTCTTTGCATACTTTAAAGATCGCGCAAAGCAGATTTCAAGAATCGGGTGCTTGTCTCGAAAAAATTACGTTGGCCGCCGAAGGTGAGTCATATAAATTCCACTTTTTAAAGTGCACATAGCTTTACGATAGTTTTTGATTAAGACTCCTTGGTGAGGTTAGGAAATGTGATTACTAAATGCTTGGATATACTTTATAAAAACAAAGCAGTGTTGAAAATGATACGATACGATTGAAAATTCCTTCGCATTGATACATAATTTAATTTCTATATTAAAAAAAATCTAATACTTTCTTTAACTATTTGGTTGTTTTATTGCCTGCAAATATATTCTTATCTTAACGCTTGCATAAGTTTATGTGAATTTCTATTTAAGATGTAAGCGTTATAGTTTTTGAGCACAAAAGTAATAATTGTATATGATTCGTTATATATGGTTTTATATATATGTGTATTTACAGGCAACGAAATATTAGTACCTTTGACAGGCTCTATGTATGTGACTGGAAAACTAGCGGAAGCGGATAATGTGATTGTAGATGTTGGTACTGGTTATTATGCAAAAAAGAGTGTTGACGATGCAAAGGACTACTTTAAAAGAAAAGTTGATTATGTAACGGAGCAAATGGAAAAGATCCAACAGGTTGGAATTGAAAGAACCAAATTGAGAGAAGCAACAATGGATATAATAGATGCAAAGATTCAACCTCATTGGGAGAAAGATCGTGGATTAGGATTTAGAAAGTGATAATTTTAAATGGACGATTTTATTTTATATACATTTCATCATAAATAATTCGTTATTGTTTGCATCTATTTGGAAATCTTTGTTGAATCCAATGGCTTTGAGATATTACATATGAATGCAACTGATTCCATGTACAATAGTAATAAGATGGTTTTATTTAGTGCAATCAAGGCGTATTTATTTTGTGATATCACCCTGTCATATTTCATTTATTTGATTTCATCTATTTAATAAATCACTACAATGAATTTTTGTACAGAAATATGTGTTTATATATTTATTGTTGTTATGTATTTACAGAAAAATATGTGATATGTATTTACTTGTTTAAGTAAATTAGAATATATTCTTTATTAAGTAGATTTTTTTATAACTGATAATTGTGCTTTTATATACGATCAAGATATTAGTAATTTATTTAAAAAACTATTAATTGCTAAATAACTAATTTTTTGTGTTGAAAATAAGGGAGATATACTTATTAAAGGAGATTCAGGTTAGGTTTATTGAAAATCAAAATAACGAAGATGAATTATTTATTCATATTTCATTGAAATAAAATGTCATTTATAAACAATAACAGTGTTTACCTATAAACATGACAGGACACATTGTGTTGGCTACAATGTTAGAGAAGGTATCAAAATCATCATCAGACAATAGAAAAGAGGCAGTACAATGTCTTTTCGAATAATCGTTGATAGTTTGGCGCAACACTTCGTCGGTCTATTACATAATAACATGACGTTATTTATTGGATTACAAATTCGCTCGAAGGGCAGATGCAGATCGCATACACATAGATAATTCACTAAATTTTTATATCCTATTTACACGAATAACATACGCTCTCAGTATTTATTTCAACAAAAGATTTCTCTTCTCAGATTTTATTCCAGTTAATAATTTCAAAATTTTACAAACGATTTTTTTACTCCCTCCATCTCAATACAATCATGCACGTAAAACGTATTGCAGAATTATTGATGTTATCTTAGGCAGCATAGCAATAGTGTAGTTATGGCAGTGATGTAAAAGTATTCTACAGGTCTCTTGGCTGCTTTACCTGCAACGAAAAAGATATAATATATGAATAAATTAAAAGATTAAAATTAATCTTTTCTTTTAGAAAAAGAAAGATAAAAGCTGAAAAATATTTATATCATATATATATATTAGGAAAATATATATTAAAGTTTTATGGATCAATACAAGAGATATATAAATTCTTCCATTTTTTTTTTTTTAATTTACTAATATATTTACTAGAGTACACATAAAATAATAAAAAGGTAAACCATACACCTACCAGTGTAGGAAGATTCTCGTGTTCCTAGTACAGAAGCCAATCTCGGACGTTCTTCTTTCAGAAATATATCAGCCATTTTTTGATACAGATGAAAGACATTAGCGTGACAAATGATGTGTAATTTGCTGTTGCTGAAATTCTCTTGCATTGTTTCGAAATCCAATCCAGCAATCGTCATTTGTTGTTGATTGTCGCCAACTTTGTTTGTGATGTTCATGATAAAACTCGAATTTACCTGCAATAAAAAATATACTATATTTTACCATTAGATATAATTTTAAAGATTTATCTGGTTTCTCTTTATACCTTAGTATTTTTAATTTCGATTTTGTAAATAAATGTAAACGCATATAATACAGATTTTATATTATTCTTTATATATAAAATCTTTTTTGTTAAATAACGCATAAGATACTGTAAATATACAAGTTATATATGTAATTGTTGATTTCCATTTACTCGTTAATTATTAGCTCGGCAATGAGATGCACTACTTGTGACTTTCTTTTTCCGAGCATAATAGATGTGTTAAGAGGTTATAATATACGATTTACGAGTCTTTGAAATTAATTAGCTTTATGCGGTAAGCTCGTTTTATGACATAGTTACTGTGCAGTTAAGCTGCTTATTTATTGCAATTAAAAATTAAGAGTTATATATATTTTCTAGAGAGACTGTCTCTCGTAAATAGCCCAATTTTATCATTATGTTATATAGAATTAAATCGTCTGATAGAGAATGACGCTATTTCAATTTTTCAAACGCTCGTAGTTTTGCTAATTAGTCATTAAGATGAATGGTCCTTTAAAAAATAAATTAACCAGGAAAACGCGAATAGTAGATTAGGGTAAGTAGGCATCTGGACATATCTCGACGATGATTAAAGCTTGTGGAAGAACAGAATGGGGCGATGACGAAATACCACAGTTCATTCTTAACTGCTTCCTGCCACTCGTTTACGCGATAACGCGTCTCTTTTAGCAGCTGTAAAGGATTTGATTTGCGGTGCATATGGCTATAACGATGTTTATCGGATTCTTAAAATACTCGTAAAGTGTCTTAGATTACTGACTTGCTATACCAAAGCTCCGGATTAAATAAAGTTTATCTAGTGCATATCGACACTGACTAGAAAATGATCCGCGAGAACAAAAAGACTCTTTATTATTTCCTATATTGTCTCGTATATATTCGCACGTGTAACGAGGGGCGTTTCGTAGATGAATGTGATTTTATCAATTTTCTCAGTCTCCAATACCGTCCATATGACGCCATCATAAATTGATGTCGCGTTTCCTGTTGTTTCCGTGAAACACGATTTCCACGCATCCCTCTCGTGCGTCTCTCAGGCTATATTCACGCACGAGAACACGTGCTGTTCCGCCTCTGAGGCCTCTAGGCTGACAAGCTGGGCTCGTCGTGAAGATCGTCCGCGACGTTACACTTAAGGCTTAATGCAGTCGATCACGTATAAGCAATTTCCTTTAATGAGAAGGTAGAATCCTCCCAGTGCTTTCCGAGAGCGATTAAATTTTTACATGCACGCGAAGTGAAAAAAAAAAAAGAAAAAGGAAAAGAAACTGTTGAACTTCTAAGCCATTGGCATTTTAATAATAGATAGATATGTCTTAATGTGGCGTTATAATTTATATGCATTATTTTTTGGAACAAAAAATGTTGCTTAAGCAGATCCTCTTTTACATATATTGATACTGATAGCGAATACAAATAGAGAAAATGATTAAGAGATTCTCTTTCCTTAGAAAATTATTAATATATTTTAAAAGAAAAGCTCTCTCTTGTTTCTCTTGGTAAATCAATACCCATAGCCTTCGAATGTGGTTGCTTTTGGATAGCCGCTATAAAGTGAGAAATTAAATTAGCGTTAATATATAAATAAAGAAGCCTATATTATCTCTTTGCTAAAATATACATGATAGATTAATATTACGAGACATTATGTGTACACATAATATTATGGGTGTAAAGAAAAGATTATATCTCGGCATCAAGAGTGTGGATCTACTCTTTGATAGGGAAAACAAAAAGAATGTCGACATAGAATTTTTATAAAAAATATATAACGAAAATACAGATTTGTTCGACGATGCTTATTATTCAACAGTAATTAAAAATGTATGGCAAACAATTGGTAAAATATTTAAATTAGTAGAATGTTTTATTCTTTAATGATGCCACTCATAGCAATCGTATGTACATTATATATTTGTAGAAATTTAGTTTCTTTCTTCTCATTATTATACAGTATGTTTTCATAAAAAATAACTGAACGGAAAATTAAAATCTTCTAGATGGGCATTCGCAGAGAGTTTCAGACAACAGAGCAATCTTAATATAAGATATGTTTATACGCCATACAGGAATGTATAAAAATATGTGACAGCTATAAAGGGTGTTTCACGTTAGAACGGCATTTGTAAACGCGATGCTGGAGTTAGTAGAATAAGCAAGTTGGAATCAGACGTTGGAAGAACTTTTCAAACCGACGCGGCGACGGCGTTGTCATCAGTGACGATGACAAGCATAGAAAGAAACAAAAGACCACAAAGTGAAATATCACAAGTGGACAAAATAATAGCATACTTTAAAATCGTTATTATCAACTGTTACGTTCAACTGAATGGCCTATTGGATGGAGTTAATAAACATGAAGCAGTGTTTCTCAATTCGAGGCATACGATACGATACGAAAAACGTATCAAATGATCGACATAAATTCAGTTTTTCCTATTTATTTCAAATTTAGCTACATATATCTTTATATATTAAATAGGCCACATATGATATAATTATAAATAATTTATTTTTATTATCCTTCCTTAGACGTGGCAATGATTACTACAATGATCATTATCTAGTTCTAGTTAATCAATTAAAAATTTGATTCTTGTTGAGAATATTTGTTAAATTATACAAAAGAAATTTAATTGCTTGGCGAATGAATATATTCAGGAATGAGACACAGGTCAAATTAATATTTATGTATTTGTCATGAAACAGAACGAGAACGATACAAGAAGATCCCCTGACACTTTTCACATTTCTCAACCTACCGGTATCTCATTGACAGTCCACGTCACGTTAGCCGGAGGATTTCCCGATGGTACCGTGCAGTTTCCACGTACAATGTCACCGACTGCATATCGCTTCTTCTCGACCAGCAACTGAGGTTCGCCGTCTGGCAAACCTGAAATCCAAAATACCTTACAGTAATAATTGAATGCGATTGGTGATCGAATACGGTTTTTATTGTAACAGACACGGTCTCGGCTATTGTTACGCCTGTTCCTTCGCTTTTTGTCGATTACAAAAACAGTCTTGGTACCGCAAAAGCGCCGTGATAGTTTGACGGTAGGTTCATTGTTCGCGGTATCAAAAAGCATGCCACGCAAAAATCGCGAATGGCATTTCTTGCGTTATTTCATGATCTCGACAATCGAGCAGTGTAGCGGAAATCTTTGTAAGATATATCATGTATCAGTTTAAGATTGTTCATATAGTTAAGGATGATACGCTTATTGGTAAATACTATTTAACTTATTTACTGAATCTTAACATAATTTTAATATCAATGTCCATTGACAATTTATAAATTACATCAATACATATTATTTTTTCTGTTGCGTACAATAATAATTATTTATCTCTATATTGATAATATATTGACCGATCCCTCCTCACTGATAGGCAGCCACGGTGGCGATCCGGTAAACCGTCAAGGAATTGTCTCACTTCTCCGCAACAATTTCCGCCTCGGGCCGCTCCTTTCTCGCGAGTTTAGCTTCTCTATGAGTAGTCTCAAGGACACGGCCGAGGAATATTACCATTTTCAACGTATGGAACGGGATAATCGCGGCCGGCCTCGTGAGAACCGGGAAAAAGGAACAAGAGACGGTTTGCCCGTTGATTGTTCCTTAGCGATGGAGAGTCGGAGTGCGCACGGAGGGGGATACAATGCGAGATTCGAGTCCTCGATCCGCACACAGTATCGAACTTTTACGAGCGATCCGTGATTGGAAAGAAGAGGCAATCACCTCGTCTCTTCAAAGGAGGATCGCTACCGTGTTTGTGGTGTCGTTAGGTCGACGCACGACCATGGTGCAGCAGCGGGGATAAGGGGGGAACGGTGGGAACAAGACCTTCTCTTCTTCGGTCTTCTTTCTTTCCATGGTTGCCGTCGTCACCGTCGTCTCTGTCCTCTCTACGGTCTTCTTCTTCTCTCTCCTCGCCTAACTGCGTTTTAATTGGGCGCGATTACGGTGACAATACAAGTCACCATGTAGGATAATCAACGACGATAATGAAAGAGGCTCGCGCGAAAGATGCGCCGCATGAGAGACAGAGAGAGCGTATCCGGCAGCGCACGAGAAGAATAGTCGTGGGTAAAAACGGCCAAAAAAAAAGTTTAACGGGTCACGATCGAATCCGCGATTCATCACGGACCCTCGCATACCCCGTTTCGTTCCTTGTTACCCTTCCCCCGGTAGCCGCCGTTAGCTGCCCTCGAACGAGATGATAAAATGTTTTTATTGAATTTTAACAATGTATCCCCAACACACAGCTCGTAGTGGAATAGGTGTCATTTATACATGAAGGACGCCGCAAAAAGCCCTGTCTCGTAACAGATTGGTCGCAGCAATTATCCGCGTTACGAACGAGAATTATACGAAACGATCGTGCGCGCCCGCCGAAACAACATTTAGCTGATGGAATAGTAGTTATAAATTAACAATATCCATTTAACGCTTTGATGGCGTTAAATGGCGCAATTAGTGGCGGTTGTCACGCTTTTTCAGCTCGAACGTATCGGAAGATAAGATGGGCGCAGGATTCAATAAGCATCGCCAATCGAAAAATTCTGTCTTGCAGACAGGTTTATTGCGTGCTGTTATCAAGGGTAATGACGCCAGCTTTTTGTCGTCTCGTAAGCAGCTACTAAAAAGCTATCTGTAATGTTGTAGTCTATGACAGAGTACCAGAGTATATAATTGAAAATAGGCATAAACTATATATCTTATTCATAATTTTATAAAACAAAAGGAGTTATTTTCCGAATGCTATACTTTTTTAAGATTGACAAATTGTGTGATAAGATTCGAAATTTATCAATCTCGTTATTGGCACTATAAATCATATAAAATTCAAAATTTATGAGAGCTAATAAAAACTGTTAAATCGATGCTATTATAGATTACTATTATTATTCTTAATAAAATTATTAAGTCAATACTACTATAATTTTTATAAAGCATAAGGCCAATATGGAATCAATAATTGTTGATTCGATAAGCAAACATCGTTGTAAATGACTTTGAATAAAAATATTGTTGTGTTATTTGCTATTGCATCTTTTTGAAGTAACGATTAGGTTTGTGTATATAATCGCGCTACAAAATTGCAAAAAACTCGTTGCAAAAATATTGCAAAAGGTATACAGACAACTGAGGGAAGTATATCCGAGTTTAATTTGTTTATGTTGTCCAAGGCAAAATAAAAATTTGATATCGCAAGATGTATTCATTCACTTGCTGTAGATCATATATGTGTGTGAAAACGTAAAATAAAAATCTATTTTAAATTACATTTTTGCTCGCGATTTTTAAGTAAAATTTTATTTATTGTTTTTATCCGTTATTTTTTTTAGATTTATAAATCGTTATATACATATAAGTATTATAAAATTGCTTATTTCTTTAAATTTTTCTTATATACTTTCTATCACATGATGCTGCAATATTATTTTGTTAAAAGCTTTACTATATCGCAATTAATTAATTAAGTTCACACACACACACACAGTTGATTATTTTGCAATATATTGAAAAAGAACCATTATTCTACAATATATTGTTATATTTTATTATATTTATAAATATGTAAAAATTACTTTAAGTTTTTGTCCTTTTAATTATGTACATATATTTATATTTATCTATGTTTGCTCAGTCATATGTTGGGCGTCGCTTTTCAGCGCATATTATGTAATTTTTATTCAGATGTGCAAAATACGTTTTTCTCAATATACTCACTTGCTACGTGCATGTAACTATAAACCATTAGGGTAGTAAACGAAGGGGAATCTCCGGAGACTTCGCAACGATATTTGCCAGTATGATTGGGTTGAACATCTTTCAGGACCACTTGATGCGCATCACTTTGATTTATCTGAAATGTAATTCACATATATTACTCATAATAACAAGGACATATCCATAAATTATGAAATATGTATATCCGCGATAACATTATCGTTAAATATGCAATAATCGACAAAATCCTGCAATTATAAAATTTATGTTATTAAGGGTGTATGATGTAAAATATTATCATAAATATGTATGTTTTATATGATATACTTTAAAATTATATTAAATCGAAACGTTTCAACAAATAATGCGCTTTACTTAATTACTTTCATTCTCTTATTCGAGAGAATGTTTTATTTATTACCATTTACAAATTTATTATTATTACCATTTATTGTATACTTACGCATTCATCGCTTTACTTCATCAAATATGGCCAATAAAATACATGAATAAAAGTATATGATGAGTTTGTAATAATTATTTTTAAAAAAGTTATATACATATTTTTATATAAGTTTACATAAATGAAAATCCACACACATACACCCATCTTTCTACAATTATTGTTTAAAGATAAATGTCGATAACTTTTTTTAAACCTTTTAAAAAATCTTAAAAGAATTAAAAACCGTATTATACATGTTTTCTACTTTCTCCACAATATATCTAGCTCTAGAAAGATAAATTACATAATTACACAAGTCACTCCCATAATATTGTTCGCGATATTTCATCGTTATACCGATATCGCAACTATAAAGACGACATTCTTTGTGATGATATTTCATCGTGGCAAAATTATTATATATATGTATATATGCCGTTAAAAAGATCAAGATTAATAACTCTCTTTTCAAAATATTTTCATGCGAGGCAGCATAAAAAAAAGAGCGAGTTATTCGGACGGATAAATTACATATTTTATTTCGCTGTAAATGACTATCAGTGATACTCTACCGGTGGACCTACTGAATTTTGAGTTAATTTAGGATCGACCACAGAATTGACCAAGTGCAGAACCGGCGAGTGCCATTTATTGCAAATCGATCGCACTTACTCGTCCTCACGCATTCGCTCGTCCGCGACAAACAATATCTCGCAACAGGGATTAATTGTATATTGCCGGTGGCAGCGTATAAATCACACAATTAATTTTGCTGTGGTTTGCTTCGTGTTTGTGACACCGACACGCTCATATGCCATATTACGGATAAGCAACGATATCATAGCGAAAGGAGATACAACTAATCTCCGAAGGTATCTTTAAAGCTTCTGCAGAGAAATCGTGTATATTGGAAAAAAATGTCAATGCTGTTACTGTAATTTGATTATGTTTCTATGTTGTTAGTTCAAAAACGGACATAGTAATAATTTAGATTAAAAAAATGTTACTCTTTCTGCACACAAATTAATTTAATGACAGAAAGCCGTGATACATTGCGACATTTATTAATAATTATTTTAAAACGTGTATGTGCGAAGAACATAAAATATATCCATTATTATAAAAAAAAAATTGTTTTTTTATAAAAAAATAATCTCTATCATTTCTTGAATGAGTGAGTCTATCTCGAGATTTACATGATTAATCGTATCTAGCAGTACTCGAGCACTCCGGTATTAGAATAAAAAATGAAATAACACAAAGAAAATTTTGCCGATCTTAAATACTTTTCTTGTAATAATAAAATATTATATTTTTGACATATGTTTAATTTTTCCATATAGTATGTTAAAAATATTTCTTACTATCTTTCGCATATCTTCGTATTATTTTTATGAATCTGTCGTATATTCGGCTGCAATGTATACGGCGTTCAAAATTGTTTGTAAATAATAGCCTAATTGTTTATACATTATAACATTGTTGTCAATCGCGCGACGAGACTGGAGGGCTGTGATGTCAGAACGAGATCCCGGCTCACACGCGCTCAGTTAGAGAATGCTCTGCGCAGTACATGTACGGGGACCTCTGATTGCGTGCGTGTGAGCCAGGACCTCGTTCTGACATCACAGCTGGAGGGGGCAGGCAACGGCGTAAAGCCCGTGTCACACTACGCATTGCGGACTCAAATCGGATTTGGAGTACGGACTGCGAATCGTCATCTATCCAATCAGAGCGAAGTAGCCAAGGATCTGATTGGATGATTGACGATTCGCAGTCCGTAATCCAAATCCGATCCGCGTCCGCAATGCGTAGTGTGACACGGGCTTAAGGAATTCCGTGTGTTATTATTGTTCGAGACGCCTCCATATACACATTCTCTCTAGATTCTTCCATATATAATAAAATACGTGATGCGTGTGTGAGCTATGTATGTGCGCGCGTATGTGTCTGTGCGTGTGTATGCGGTTAACGTCGGGAGTGCCGTGCAAAGTGCCGCGCGATCGCCGTGTTTTGGTAATTAGTGCGCGTGCGACCGTGATTAACCTTATTTTCGCGGGAGACTGTTACGTGAGTGCCACAAAGGAGAAGCGAAAGAGAAGGGGTAGGAGGAGGAGGCCAGAGAGGCATCGGACGACGGCAGAACAATCATGGGGTAATTTATTGTTTATTTATTATTTTTTACTTGTGTGTGCGCAAAATTAATATCACCGTATATTCCCTCGACAGACATTTGGATTATATTTTTTAAAATTAGAATTTTAATTTGTCAATTTTTAGAAAAGCTTATGCTCTTGAGATAAGAAATCTTTTTCAGAAATTGCATAATTACTTTATTAAATATTTATTTAAAAGACAAATAAAAAATTCATTACGCACAACGATTATTTTTTGATATATTAATTATTTTGTTATTCTTATTGCTATTCTAATTTGAATTATATATTTATACTTTACAGGTCAATGTATTGATGTTACAACTTTGCTGCTGCGCATCACATCGGTGAGTGATGAATTATCTTTTATTTTTTATATGATATGGATCATTGATTTTCATTTAAATGATATTGTAAGAAGCCAAATAGCAAAAGACTAGTTAATTATAATGTTTTTACTTTAATATACATATTTTTGTCCAAGAATAATTATACACAATAGTTATCACCTAATGAAATAATCGATCTTTTTGCACGTTCATCACACGTTTATCTCAAAAATCAGAATAACGGCCGGACATATCCCGATTGAAGATCAACTGGCACGCTCATGCGTATATAAAGGCAACAACGGAGGTATCGTTTTACTCTACGCCCGGATTACATAATGTAGCAATTCAACAATGCTCGGTCTGATACGCTCACGCATAAATTCATCGAACTCGCTCGGCAGAATTAATATTGTTACTCTCTCTCTCTCGCGAAATACAAAACGGTCTCTATGCCTGTTGTTTCTCTATGTACTGTTCTGCTGCGCTTCCCTTCTGCTTTATATTCGCAATCCCCTTGCATCCGCGGTCGCGCAACCACAATTCTCGCGCTATATCTCTCTCCCCCGCGGGGAGTGCGTCGCGATTTATTGGCCGAAGTGTTGTCTGTACTTTCCGCCGGTAAAATCTAATTGGTAAACCATTGCGTGTACGAAAACGCTTCGTTGACCGAACTTGCGTCGGCTATCGCGGAAGCCGCGTGGCCGCATAAGGGATTTAGTTAGCTTTTTATTTTTTCTTTTTCAATTGAGCCTCAAAAACATTGATTTTTCGACGGTTATTCTTATCCGCGACGGTTATATGCATCTATGTCTTGTATAGCTTGATTATTGTATAATAAATTAAAAGTCCATACAAATTTGAAAGTTTTTCGCGCGCGCGATAAATTTATACTTATTGTTAGCTTTAAATTTCGCGTTAAAGGACAGAAAAATCTCCATAATCGATTACATAATTTAATTGTGCATTAATAATGTTTTGAAAATGTAATAAAAATTTTTCTCTAATTAAAATGCCACGATCAAACTGATTAAAAAATATATTTTGTAATAAGTTATGAAAGATTTATTATATGTTCATAAATTAAAAAATTAATAAAAACTGCGTAATCATTTAGCTGTTCTTTATGTTAAAACAAAAAAAAAAATTACATTAAAGCTGGGATATTAAGCTGCAATTAAAGCTGAAATATTTTGAGAGACTGTGTAAATGCTTTACTTTGGCTTTAATTTGAATTGAATGAAGCTGTTGAACTGTGCTTTAGTTTAGCTTAGATAAAGCTCTCTTTTAACAACTTTTTTAATTCGCTCCAAAAACATTAATTTTGGAACCACTATTCCTTTTTTTTCGCTCACGACGCATACATGCGAGTATGTGCATAGTTCGAAATATCGCATAGTGCGAGAATTGAATTCCTCTGTTCTCGTTTCTTTCTCCATCGAGATAATGGTTCGTAATCGACCACGGACGAGATGCGGATATCGTGATAAATTCAAAGTTGTTTTTGAAATGTCGCATTAAGGTGAAGACGTTTCTTTTGGAAAGATCTCTTTTGTAAAATAATCTTATTAAAAGAAAATTTGTCAACAGCGCTATGAAGTTCAAGCAAGATTTACATATATATAAATTATAATTTTATTATATTATTATATGAATTATTGAATTCTCTATCATACATTTAGAATTACAAGGGTGATCTTTTATATAACTTTTTTATATAAATGTGCGGTGTGTAATGAAAAGCAGATTACTAAGCTCCGCTGTAGCGAAGTGTTGGTTAGCGGAAGTAATATCTTTTGCATTAATAAAAGCGAGGTAAAGGGAGCATTCAGAAACCAGAGCACGTAACCGACCCGTTTTCAAAATAATATTGAAATTTATCATGCTTGATTTATCACGCGAGCTTTGTATGCATCCGTGTATACTGTATACGATATTATTACATCCAAAATGCAATGATATAATGGTTGATTGACATTTTATATCTGCTAGATTGCAAGGCAAAATGTGAATGCATTGTTTTCATTGGAATACTATTGTATATAACTCTCGTTTCTAACAACAGGTCGAAACGTTAGAAAGCGATACCTTCGACTTGAACAATTAAATTACTAGTTAATGAAAAGAATTTTGATAACAGCAAATCATGCAGTAATCGCGCGCGATAAAGCTTAAAATTGAAAACATCATCATATACGGGATTTTTACCTCGTAATTTAAAGTTGTTTTTTGAAATAAATATTAAAGCTATTATCTGCAGTTATAACATACATATACTGCTGCGGTCTTTCTGTATTTATAACACAACACACGTGGTTATATTGCAAAAATATATTTTGCGCAAACATACGCTAATATGCCCCATGTATTTATTAACGTAAAATGGACATTGGTAATAATTTCTGTCGCCGAATGAGCAATGACATTACACGAATTGTTATTTCGAGTATTTAATAATTTAATTTAACTGGTGCTACACAACATGCTTCTTTGATGCAAGAATACTGTAATACATTTGCTGTTCCTATTTTGTTGAATTTATTTCTATCACGAATTACAACGATACAAGCCGGAACGAAATATCACATATAAATGATTTTATTTTCCGAACGTAAAATGTGAGATTCGGAAGTATATTTGTTCATAATATCTACACACACGAAATAAATGTATTTTATATTTGCTTGTTGCGATAGGTGTACACGGAAAAAGGGTGCAGAGTATGTTTTCTTCCGAAATAAATCGTCGTGCTAACGGATTTCAAATATTGAACAGTGAAACATTAAAGCATGTTAGGAAGGGAAAACGAATGGCACTGCGATTCGTCAATATCCTATACACTGAGAACTTATTTGTATTTATATTATTATATAAAAATATCATTCGCTATATCTTGAAAGATTTTTAAGCATAATATAGTGTTTAAACAATTAGTTATAGATAAATTCATAATTCATATATTAAATGAAAAAATCAGCTGTTTATGTTTCTCTGTACCCGATTGGGCAAAAAACATGTAACGCAAAATGAAATTTCGATGGTTGAACATATATGTACAATATATGTTCTTTTTTTAATTGTGGATTTATATATATATATATATATTTTTACAGACTTTCAAATTTCCGCCAAGCAATGACTATTCCTTTTTCATGCATGCCAGATATGCGCTGCAAATATTCGTCTGGATATACAGAATGCAATCTGCCATGCGTTTTGCGCATGTTATAACATGAATGCCATTTCGTTTCACCGATATTGAGGGAAAAGGGAAATTGTTGTTTTACCGTAAAGCATGCTAAAACAACATTTTTAAGTTGAAAATATGATGCAATGATAAAAATAAAGTTATAAATGCTATAATTATGTATGTTACGTAAGATGTCTCTGATATTAGAAAATATAATATATAAAAAAGTATATAATATTATTTTTTATATTCTATCTTATTTAAGAAAATATTATGATAATAAATATTAATTCTTTATAAAACATAGTAAAGATATAATGAAATAATAAAAATATAAAATAAATAAAAATAAAATGATAAGACAATTTGTGCAAAGATACACATAAGAATGAACAAATTGTTGGCAAATTTTGAACATGTGAGTTTTGGATCGTCTTTTGCACAACTTTGATATTTACATGTCAGGTAGGAATATAAAACTTGATTCGCTAAAAAGTAGGAATCAAATTTTAATTAGGTACAACACTATAACGGTGTTTGCAGCTGAAATAATCCAATTGCGTATACCAACTAGTGAAATTATATAAGAGTACGATTCTAGTTAGAAATAATTTACAGAAATGATAGAATCCATTTTTATCAACTTTCTCATGAATAAGCGTGAGAAGAAAGAAATTGAATATATATTGCATGCAGACAAAAACTACCAATTTTAAAATCAATTTAAAAGAAAATTATTTATAGTATACATAATTATTATAATCCTGTAAAATAATTTATAGAAACTCTACAACATAATTACAAAGTACTTGAAAAATTTTTAGATTGGTCAGCATATTATGATTAATATCAATAAATATATTTATCTGAAAAAGATTAATCTATTTCCTAGATGAAATAGTGCAGTATAAAATCCTGCAAATCTATGTTTATTGAAATCTTCCATTTAATGTATTACTCACTATGACTTTTGCTCCAAGTTCTCCAAATACTGCGATCGGTGGCATCTCCTTGGGGACATATCGAAAAAATTCTGAACCCTTGTACCATTTGACAGTGTAGAGGGTGTCCGATTGTAGATCGTATCTGCAGGACATGTTGACTGTTGTACCAGCTGCCACTGCCAATGGTATGTCGATCGATATATTGCGTAATCCATGAACGCCTACAACAGCAGGAAACGAGATTTTGCTATTGTTTCAATTAATTATCTAAATTTTAGAAATTGCGCGGATATATTTCAGTAACTATTTTGAAATTATTACTTTTTTCTGTGGTTTTCCTTATTATATGTATAGCTAAAAAAATTCTATTATATTTATATTATAATATATTTCGCAACTATGTTACTGATGTTTAATGTAATGATTGTTAATATAGTCGTACGCAGAGATAGTGTTGTATACTATATTAAAAAATGGAAAAAATCCATCAAATAGAAATTTGTTTGATATTATCGTACATTTTAAGCAAATTTCATAAAGTTTCAGAAATTTTAGAAAAGCATAAATATATTTCCGAGCATATATATAGGTACATGGTATACGAACATATATACGTGTATACGAACATGAGCAGAACAAATTTTATTAACAGGTACCTTTGTGTGTATATTCATGTCTTAAATATTTTTAAAATAGAAAAATCTCTCCCTGCAAAATTAGGATAAAACAAAGAACAATAATTTTTGTTATTTATTTATACTCTCCCTTTATCTCTCTTCTATCTCTATCTTTCTTTCTCTTGAATCTTTATATTCGCAAAAAGCCATTTCCTATGGATATATAGAATTTGAAGAACATTGCTGATGTTTCAGTACATTTATTTAAAAAAAATTTAATTGTAAATTAATCGAAAAATCTGTCATTAAAGTTATTTTACACTTAGATATCTTGTTTAGATGCATTGAAATCTTTGTCAAATTTGTATAGTCCATTATGTCCACTATAATTTTTTATATGACTATTATATATACTCCACATCACATTGAATACTTAATAGTTCTTTAAAATTCCAATTGAAGTCAGTGGCATTTATCGTTGAATGCGCGTTCTTTGTTATGTACCGCTCGAAGAATGCCGGTAATCCAGAGAAGAAAAGTCAACCCAACTCAGACAACAATATTCTGTCATATCTCAGCGGTATAGTTATTTTTTTAATTAATTAATCAAGAAATTAATGATGTGTGTATGTTCTGTATTCAGAATAAATATTGCAGAGGAATTTTAATCCTCTTTATCTGCGATTTTTATGTAGCTTTAATTATTTAATGATAATATAATAATCTGTTACCAAAATATGTGGTCTGAGACGGATGAATATTTTCTTTTTTATGTTATGTACCGTTTTCATACCGAAAATTATTCTTTAAGAAGAAGAAAAACACATTGATAATTAATTAACATCTTACTCATTTTACATGATGACATAATGAAATAACAGTTATCGTAGTTATATTTATAGCTCGTCTGTATCATTGATCATCCTGTGAATTATATGTTTGAAATATATTAACAGATTAGATTCACTATATACATTCATTATATAGATACAATACATTTAATTATATCGAAAAGTTGCATTTTATTTTAAACACTGCAGATTAAATAAGATGATAATAGTTTCAAACAATTATACGAAATCAGTTATGTATTCCAGAAGTAAAATCACAAAAAGTTACTTTTATTTTGTTTCTAACAAAAAAAGCAAGTTGTGCGCGATGCTTATCTTATAATAACTTAAATGAACAAGTGCTTAAACTTTCCGTGTAATCCGGCCACCGTCAACGTTGTTCACTCCGAGGATTATAACTGACAAACTAGCGGAAAGGCATTTTGCCAGAAAACGCCGGTAAAGATCGCGAAAAATAACATCACGGCCGTCGATTTTTAAGCATTGCGTACTTGCTTAGATCGAGTTTGAAACTTATTACTATTTCAGTGCATTTTACGCGCGCTCTCATGTCATGCATTATTTATCGAAAGTTTGGATCACTGCGCCTTAAATAAGTCGTTATTATAGTAAAATCTTTTTATCAAAGATTAGCACAAAATCTTTAATTGAAAGATCAAAATCTTTACTTGACTTAAAAAAATAGATTTATATAACTAACGGGTGATTTATTTATATATCTCCAAAAAATAATTTTACTCAAGAATATATTATATGTAAAACGATCTGTACGATTTTTACTGTACTTTGGTCCGGTATAACTTAATTAATATGCATGCAGGATAGGTGCTGCAGGCATTTAGCGGTATAAAATATCAAATATGTTAGGGAGATGTCAGCGCTATATGACCGAAAAGCGTTATACACAGAAGTGTTTGCAAAAGCATGTTACGTCGTTATAGCAAATTTCTAGCTCTTATCGGCGACGTTGCAAAAGATCTCCGTTATTGTTCCGGCTTAAACGAAGAAAAATCTAACCCGAGGAGATTATATATTTCACTCGGTGTGCAAGTTGGCGAGATCAGCTACCAGCGAGCGTGCCGTGGACTCGCAATAGCAGACTAACGCGAAAGTTTAGTCATTAATTAACAGTTTTTTTGGTGGATCCACTTCTAATTAATTATTTATGACTTGATCTGTCGGTACTCATTGTGTTGATAAAGTAATTAAACGATAATTAATTAATACGAAAAGTAATTAATCAGGAAATGGGGGGGGGGGGGGGGGGGGGGGGGGTAGAAGAGAGGGAAGAGATCATGGTGACGTGTTTCAATCGTGAAATGCATTCTAATAACAGTATATCTGAACAATTTCCTTGATGTCAAACATAACGGTCGTAAATGCACATGTTGAGTGCTCTAATAAGCATGAGATTGATGTGACACATATGGAAAAAAAATTAATATCGTAATTACGGTGACGAAAAATAACGAAGGCAATTTTCTGTGTCGCTCCTTCTCATTTGCAATTGCTTTTAATAACCGTAATATAATTGGCATCATTAGTAGGCATGTTTCCATTCCCTCTGACAGAACATCTCCGTCTCAGCAAAGCGAAAGTTTTTCACTTACAGAGACGCGCGCCTCTTTATCACTAATCACTGCACAGTTTTGAACTTGGCCGACGTATTAGAAGAGCGATGCGTAATTAGAAGCGGTAATTGGAACGTCTGCTCCGCGAAGTTTCACCGTTGGGCTACGTATAATCAGTTGTTTGGTCTCAATGCGCGCGGATGCAACGGCGCGCTCGCAGATCGCTGCATCGAGATTTAAATACCAGGCATTCACTAATCACCTCGCTAATCCTTAATTACCGCTCCTCGCTAGGAGAGCGCGATTGTTATTCGCATCGCGGCTTACCGTGCTGCGGGCCTTCCGTTTTTGGAAGACGAAACCTTCCCATAAATAACGGCAGCGCCGAGACAATGGCGTCGTATAAACTCGCTCTACGAATATATCCGGCTAGTCTTAAATAATCGCGGGAATAATAAAACCCACGAGTGCATATTCAAGCAGATTCGAAAGCACTCTTTGTAACTTTTTTTTTTAATCTTCCTTTATGAATTTATCAATTGTCGCGACAATAGAGGCAGAAATACAAACAGCGAAGCGTGGCAAACCGCACGCACCGAATATTCCATAATCGAATGTGAAGCAAGCAAAATAGATTGAACACATTAATCAGCTAATAAGGGCTGCAACAACTCAATAAGCAAAGCGGGGTGCATGTTTATCATATTGCATGGTATTTGTGCGAAACGCTATTTGACTCAAAAATCTAAAATTGTTTCAAGCAATTGATTCCGAAATAGATGACATTAGTCAGTTTTTGCGATGTTGGAAGAAATCAATCCGGCCGTTAATACTTATATATATATATTCGGTTTCGCGTATTCCATAATAACTATATTGGAACAATCGACTTCGAAATCAACATGCGTGTATTCCATTTCATAAAGCAGTTTAAAAAATAATTTAAACCACTTATTAATCAATATTATATGAAATATCAAAACCACTTATATACATTCAATAGGACATTATTTTTTACATATATTCTGATAAGATATATACGTAGATATGAATGTAATAATATGCGATAATAACGATATTAACACAAGAATGTATATAGCGTATATATTATAATAAGGAATTAGACGTTATCATTCGCGAATTATCATTAAAAAAAGCACTTATACTATGATTTGCGCGACCGCGTTTTTCAAAGTGTATATATATATAAGTCTTGAATTCGTGAAATAATCTTAAACTTTTAATTGCGGCGTAATTACTTATACGTTCGATGATGTGTGAGTATTCGAGAAGCCTTTTGCGCATTATGCATATCTCCACAGCCAGATATCTTACAGACATGAGGCCGGAAAAGCCAAAGGCGTAAAGAGCCTGTGCTCTGAAATGAGGTCCCTTTCTCTCTTCGAAACTCAACTAAATGAAAAACCCATCCTCGCGAGAGAACGTCAGCTATAGAAGCTTTTATTGTTTCATGAAAGGAGGAAGGAAAAAAGAGATATTGAAAATACGCGTTGCAAAAACCTTTTACTTGGCGAGCTCTCACCGATCGAATCGCGTATCAAATGAATGAAAGCTGCACGGACACCTCTTTCCACCTTTTTTAGAACTTATTTAACAAGCTGATGCCGTATTCCAGAATTTATATGAACTCAATCTTTCAGCGAAAAATTTCTTTCATTACTCACGAAACCGCGTAGAATACACAATGAATTTGGAATCTTACTAATGAATCTGTTAATATTTAATGCAGACATTTTGTAGTATAGGATATCAATCTACAAGACTTATAACAGGTTAGTCAGTTATACTAGATTATATAATAAGGATGTATAAAAAAAATTATGATTATACCTCAAGGCAAGGCATTACACATACATCCAAATGTTCTCTTCTTAGAGCAAAACTTGCTTTTAAGGCAATGTAAAATTTCATTATGTAAAACGTTACATATTCATCTTCAAAGCCGCATGAATTACTAGTTCATCACGATTCTGTTATACGCAATCCGTTACCGATCTAGCGGAGCGATATTTTAATTTCAAAAAATGGAATCGTTTCGATCGACGTAAGTATCAGTTGTATAGAACATCGCGCTGGCACGACTTTAGTTTCCAATGGAAATCACTGATTCGATTTACTTAATATCGCAAGAATTGGATGTGTCTGTGAACTTTTCTAAACT